TGGAGGGGGTGGGAAATATTTTCACTGTAAAGATTTGCTACTTCTTTTGAGCTACTGCATCCATAGGTGTAGGTCAATTTCATCAAATTGTATCAAACTCTTTTTTTCCTCTTCTTTCTTCTTCTAGTTGAGCTCTGATCATCCAGTCATTGAAGCCAGGTCAAGTGGGTATTATCTGCAAGTGTGGGTGTTCTTGTGCAGATGCCCTCACTTCTTATCAGCTGGATGCTTCACTCTCCACTCTAGTCCTCTGTGGCTATGACACTGACTCTGGGCCCAGGAGTCCCCAGGTCTTGCCACACTGCTGGCTGACCAGGTCTCCACCAGGGTTCACAGGAATCTATTGAATGTTGTAGGGCTTAGCTCACAGCTTCATTGCTGTTTTCCCCACACTTCCCCTTATCAGTGATGAACATGGTCACCAATCAGAGTGTGTATTCCCATTGAGTCTTAGTCTTGGAAGGGGGGAAATGCTTGAATTTTTGATGGGTCAATTTCTCATCTCTAAAATTCAGATATTTTACCAATAACCAAACAATCACTAATACTTCTTCTTAATTAGGTCCAGTGATGTAATGTCATCAATGTAACAGACCGCTATGTTGTCCTGTGGAGAGGGAGAGGTGATGAAGGTCCTTTCAGAATAAATTATGACATAATTCTGGGGAGTTGATATTTTACTGTACAATCAGTTCTTCAGTAAATCAACCAAATAACCTGTTAGACTCGCTCCTATCCTCTAATGCTGAAACAATGAAGGAAAAACCTTTGCTTGTTGGGTCCTAATCAATACATTCAAATTTTGTGTTACTTACACCATTATCCCCTACCCTTAAAAGCCATTCCCACACATATTCTCCAGATTTCTTATTGTATATATCAGAAAAATCAAGCAGCAAATTTACACTGTATTTTTCTGGTTTGGAAAACTCCAGACTGACAATTGTACTTCACTTTGTGGGGTTCACTTGGACTTAAGTGTAGTTACAGATCTGGACCACCACTCATCTGTCAGTGTGTCATACTGTGGTGGCTTGTGTGTTGCTATGACGCTGGAAGCTATGCCACCAGTATTTTAAACACCAGCAGGGTCACCCATGGTGGACAGCTTTCAGAGGAGCTCCCAGCAAAAACAGATTAGAAAGAAGGAGAGATGGTCTACTTCCAAATATTTAGTCACTGAAAAGCTTATGAATAGCAGTGGAATACTGTCAGCAGCAGAATATTGACTATTGAAACATGATGAAGAGCACCAGAATATTGTTAGATATAGTGCTGGAAGATGAGCCCCTCAGGTTGAAAGGCACTCAGAATATGACTGGGGAAGGGCTGCCTCCTCATAGTAGAGTTGATAATGATGACATGAATGGAGTAAAGCCTTCAGGAACCTTTATTTGATGATGGGGAACAACTGAAAATGAAGAGAAAGAGCTATAAAGATCCATAAATTATGGGAACATAGAATGTATGAAGTATGAATCTAGCAAAATTGGAAATTGTCAAAAATTAAATAAAACACATAAACATCAATTTCCTAGGCATTAGTGAGCTGAAATGGACTGGTATTGACCATTTTGAACCCGATAATCACATTGTTTACTACACCAGCAATGACAATTTTAAGAGGAATGGCATCACATTCATCATCAAAAAGAACATATCAAGATCTAACTTGAAGTATAACACTGTCTGTGGTAGGATAATATCCATATGCCTACAAGGAAGACCAGATAATATCACTATTATTCAAAATTACACACCAACCACTAAAGCCAGTGAGGATGAAATTGAAGAATTCTACCAACTTCTTCAGTGTGAAATTGACCAAACATGCAATAAATATGTATTGATAATTACAGGAGATTGGAACACAAAGGTTGGAAACAAAGAGAAAGGATCAGTCATTAGAAGATATGGCCTTGGTGATAGAAATGATGCTAAAGATCACATGATAGAATTTTGGAAGACCAATGACTTCTTTATTGCAAATACAATTTAAAATAACAAATGAGACAATTATACACATGGACTTCACTGGGTGAAATACACAGAAGTAAAATTTAATACACCCATGGAATGAAATGGTGGAAAAGCTCCAAATCATCAGCCAAAACAAGGCCGGGGGAAGACTGTGGAACAGACCATCAATTGTTTACATGCAACTTCAGGCTGAAGCTGAAGAAAATTAAATCAAAATATGATGTCGAACATATCCTACTTGAATTTAGAGATCCTCTGAAGAACAAATTTGATGCATTATACACTAAAGACAGAAGACCTCAAGAATTGTGGTGTTGGAGGAGAATACTGAAAGTGCCATGGACTGCCAAAAGAACCAATAGATCTGTTTTGGAAAAAGTGCAGCCAGAGTGCTCCTTGGAGGCCAGGATGGCTAAACTTCGTCTCTCCTACTTTGGACATATTGTCCAGAGGAAACAAT